AGTGGCTGGATCAGGTGAGCAGAGACAGGGAGCTCCGTGCCTTGCTCTGCAGGGCACCGAGAAGAGGGAGCTGAGGGGAGCGGAGGTGGCTGGGGGAGCACTCCGCCGTGGTGCCTGCGGCTTTCCGAGTCACGAGATCCACTCTCCACGGGCCTTGCGTGCACTCCTGCCCTCGCTTCGGTCGTTCCCCGTGTCTGCCTACCCACGGCTGCACCCACGCAGCCCCCTGCGCCTCCATGCCTCCATCTGCCTCCGTCCCTTTGCCGGGTAGATGTGGCCTCGGAGCGTGGGGGAGAGCGGGCACGTAGGTGTGTGTGTGTGTGTTCATGTTATTTATTACCTTCATTTACCGTCCAAAAGCTGTTGGCACATACATTTTCAAGTACAAATTGCTGTTGTACTACATATTCCCTTCTCACCAATCTGCCGCCAGAGTCCTAAAACACATCCCTAATACGTTTTACAAGTGAAAATTATCACCAACTAAAATAATTAAGCAACATGATACATGAATTCACGACGTCCGTCCTTGCACACGATTCGAAGAGGATTATTATTTATATTCCCCGCGTTACAGAGAATGTTTTAAAATGGTGGTGGGGAACTTACTGTGCCTGGGTTGCTATGTAGAGTTGCGTGTGCAAGGAGTTTTATTTGCAAACGTTAAGAAAATATGCCGGAAGAAGGATTTGGAAGGAAAGAAACACAAAATTGGTAAACTAAACTTATGTAAACATAGTACAGTCTTTATTTTCTCAGCTTCCCTTGAATCAAGAACGTTAGGTAGAATATTTTAGCAGATGTGGAGAGAGATGCAAGGGACAGAGGGAGCAAGCTATTGCTATTACTGTATATTTAGTGTATTTATTGGAGCACTAATATCAGAGCACCATTTCATTCCTAGCGCAAAACACACAATATAATTAAAGAAAAAAAAGAGTTCAGTTTCACTTCAATCTCCACGTAGTTCATTTTCAGTCTTGGTTTCGGAGACATTCATTTTCATTCCCATTTTCTGGAAATGTAAGTTTTTATTCGCCTGATTCTTGGCGTCACGGGTCCCTCAGTTTCCCCATGGGCAGAAAATGTCCTTATATCTTTGACGCAGACAGACAGATACAACAAATGCTACACTTTTTCCCACCCAGCAAATAATCTGGTATTTAATCTATCTCCGCCTAGAGCACTTGGCAGTTGCAAAGGTGGTTTGCTATGGGAAATAAACCTTGACAGGAGCATATTTCCGAAAAAGAATAACTCTAAATCTATTTTTTTTTTCGGCTGCGTTTTGCTTAGAAGGATTCCCGTTTAAATGCCCGGGAATGTTGTCTTCAATATTGAAATGTCAGGAAAATGAAAAATTTGTGTATATATATATATATATATATATATATATATGTATGTATGTATGTATGTATGTATGTATGTATATATGTCTGAGAAAACGGGCAAGAATCTCGGCCTCTAGCCTATACATTAAAAATATCTACGGCATAAATAAAATCAATTTCTGGTACATTTCAGCGTTCTCCGTGGGCAGCATTAGCAATAAAATCAAGACAGCGTTTAATACAAAAAAAATATTGGCAGGCGCTAAAAGGCCGTTTGTCTCCATTCATAACATTTAGATGCGTTTCAATGCACTTTCATGAGGATTTCAAGAGATGTCCTTGCGCACTCTCGGCCCTTAAAGGAGTCCAAAAAGAAGAGGAGGAGGGAACCGGGGGGTGGCTTTTCCGCGCGGGCCGGGGGGAATTTGGGGCGGTGGGTGCCCGGACGGGCCCGTGTGCCCCGGCCGCGTCTGTAGGGGTCCGGCCGCGGGTGTTCTGGCCACTCCATGAGCTTTTGCCTGCCCCCTGGGCCCCCTCCCCCTTGAATGCAGTTGATTCATGAACTAGGGTACGAAATGCTAATGTTCATTAAGTCTATCCTCCTCCCTCCTCCCTTCGGCCTTCTTCCCGCCCCCGCACCCCCAAAAAGAAATTTTTTTTCCTCCAGTGAATAGCTTCAACATGGCGTACTGCAAGGCAGAAGCTTTGCCCGTTCCTAGATCTGAACTGTGATTAAACATCCCCAAAGAGAGCATCTCTCTTCCTCCCGCCGCTCCCCCTCCCTTCCCTCCCCTTAGCGTAAAGCGCCCTCTTCTACGTAGGAAAGGTCAAGTCCTACAACGCACAACCCACGGTCATTACTGTACTGTGACCCGGGGTGTACTGGGGAGGAACGGCCGAGTGTCTCGTGATCAAAAACACTGGGACTTTTTTTGGTTTTTTTTTTTTTCCTCCTACTCGTGCGATGGGAATCCATGGAATTAGACAGCATTTTAGCCTCCTGCAACCACCTTGTGTGCAAATCGCCATCGGAAATCCTAAGGGACCAGGAGAGAAAGAGAGAGGGAAAGAGAGAGCGAGAGAGAGGGTGGGGAGGGGAAGAGAGAGAGAGAAGGGGAAAAAATAGCTGTAAGAGTAGTAGTAATAATAATAGCAATAATAGTCATTAGCCTGTGATATCGCTGCATTTTGCCTGAAGCTGGCAGGAAGGACGATGTGCCCCAGTGGCTAGATTTCTCTCCATCTAAAGGCAAACCAACAACAACTAGAACAAAAAAAATATATAACCCCCCATATCAACCGCAACCCAAGACACTGAAAAATCGAGAAGGAATGTTTGGTGGACCGTGTATATTTAATCTGTGAGAAAGGAATAAAAAAAAATATGCAATCCATCCTCACTGAACTGGAGATCTACAGCCCAGCGCGGGATCCTAACTGTCAGTCTCCGTGGGGATATATTTTTGCACAGGCGAGAGACTTCTGGATGCTGGGGTAAGATTTTCGTGCTCTTCCTGGAGGCGGCTCAATGTTTCTCCTCTCTCCCTGCTCGGTGGTGAACTAAGCAAACAAGCCAACAGCAAACACCCACCCGGTCCCCTCGCAAAAAAAAGCCCCCTGCATGACTGGAGCAAAGTCATTCGGGAGGCCTTTGTGGAGAGTTTCCCAGGCCCTGATCTCCCCCCCAGCCCACCCACCCGCCCCACTGCGTTTCTCCCACGGTGTATGAGGCCGAAGTGCCGCTTCTCCTGCGGGGACCTGGGGGCAGGCGGCTGCCTGAGCTGATGCTAATAGAGCCGAAGTAGAGAAAAGTAAGAGAGTTTCTCCTAGCTTGGGTGCCGGCTCCACCTTCCCCAGGGATGCTGCTTTCCTCTCTAGCATAGGTGGGAAGCAAAGAGGTCTCTTGGCAGGAAAGTGCACCAGGAGAGGCTGGGGTCAGAGAACAGGACGAGAGCAGACTTGCAGATAGAGCTGCTGGTTGTTTGGCTTTGTGCAGTGCCGTGTTGTACTGCGGAGCTGGGTCAGACTGCATGGAAAAGCGTCTCCTGGTTTTTATCCCCGGTTGTTTTATTCCCGTGTACATGCCTCTGAAATTATTTTAATCATTCAAGCGCCGGGGAGGAGGGTGGACGGCTGTGTGTGGAAGAAATATGGGGAAGGATGTTTAACCGGTCTGCTTTTTGCCATTGTTTGTGTGTATCTAGAGAGAAAAATGCCAGCCGGGCATTGTAACCTGTCAGTTTTAATTAATCTGAATTTCGTCGTAATCGCCTTGATTTGAACGCACTAAGCAAATTGCTTTCATTTATTCCTGATCGTATAAAACGACCTATATGGTCGGCTTGGGTGAAGGATAATGGAAAAGCGGTTTATTTCCATCTTGGCTTCGAAATGCCTTCGGGTAGGGAAAAAAAAAAAAAAAAAGAAAAAAAAAAAAGGAAAAAATGTGGGTTTTGATACAAAGCAATCTTGTATGGACTTCGTCTCCAGATAGTGACTGGTTTACGTTTAAATATGTAAGGATTTCTAAATACTGTGCTATATGAACACTTGATGGGAAAATAAAAGCGAAAGAGAAAGAACGATTAATACCCACACTTCGCCTGATCCAATTCTGGGTGTTTTGCCCAAATTCACCCGGGCTCTGCAGTGTGCATCTGTCATGCTTATGGGACCTGATTTCTGAAAGGACTGATATTAATATCATCATTTGTTGAAAAATCGGGAAAGGGAAACAAGCGGGACAGTGAGCGGGCTTCCACCCGGGCATAGGCAAGAGCAGCCATATTAGGCTTAGAGGAAGAGCGTTTTTATGGGTATCTTTGCCTTACATATGAGAGAAGAGACAATAAACGATCCTTACGAGCTGGCTGAGTTGTACATGAGCATATGATTGCATCCTAAATTGCAGCGCATACTCTAAGCTCGTGTTATACAAATAGCTTCCAATAAATATTACACAAGTACAGATACCTTAATTATAATAGAATTCTGAGAGCCCATCAAAATACGAAGTTGGAGCTTTGAAGTCGTTGATCTGATAGTCCTGGTATAGCAATACTTCCTGTACCCGCCCCCTAAAGCAAGTATTGATGAAGAAATGTCTTTAGTTCGATGGGTTTCATGATATGTGAATAAGGCTCTCCTATAAAGTTAGCAGTGGTACAGTAAAATCTGATGTGTTTCTTGGCGAGTTGGGCAAAAGAATTAAATAAAAAATTGAAATACCTTTATAAATCATTGTTAAAATTTAATGTACATTAGAGAGAACCTTATATCCTATAAAATTCAATTTAGGTTAGAATTCCAGTCAATTACCTTGACGTGAATTTCTGTAGCATAGTGTGGATCTCGGCATCTCAGAAACAGTCTAGCTACGACAGGCTGGTCTCGGCGTTGAGGCATTTCATTTTCTGTAGCTTTCTGAATTTAATCTAGGGGACACATTATATATCCCATAACTCTTGTGCGTTGTTTATATCCTGAATTGGTAGGCAGAAAATGCTCGTTTTCCAGAAGCAACGCGACAGGATTATTTTTTCCTCTCAGAGAATACATTTCCTGGATTAACAAATCTAAGGTCAAGTTCAAGGCATCGATTCTAGCAATACTTTTAGATGTAAGTCGACACGGGAATGTTTTGGCGGACTTTTTTTTTTTTTTTTTTTGAATGCGTAGAGTAAAGCAGACTCTCGGTTGAGGGTTAACTTTGCATGGGAACATCGCCTGGGATATGGCCGTCCGCAGGGATAACTGTCGACTACTAGCACCTCACTTTCAAGGGATCACTGGGGATGTTTCCCTAAACCGCTCTGTTTAATTCTTCATAAAATGCATTGACACGAAAGGGGACTGGTACCTGCTTACTACAAACGGTGCTAACAACACGGCGCTTTGTGGGTCTGGGTGGGAGTGGGTGGAAAGTGCCTGATCTTCTGTACCGGCGCATTTTAACCAAGGAAATTTGCTTTCGCACCAGTTTAGAGCCCGCCGCTGGCTCTAGACACCCCCCTCCCGCCAACTAAGTTTGCTGGGAAGTCTCTTGCACCTGTATCTGGATAGACGTAGGGAAAAATAAGTGACTGCATGTATGTTTTCTTGTGCTGGGAAAGCCTCCGAGAGTGGAGAAAAAGAGACATTTATAGAATCACCGTCAGTCATTTAATTTCTGATATACTAGTTGGTCTGAGAAAACCCCTTCTTGCGTCCGTCTTATTGCCAAGCCCGACAGCATTGTTTTTCAGGACTAGGCTCCCAGCAGTAAATGCAAACATTTTAGAGGTGTTCAGAGCCCCGGGACCCTGGAGCTCTGGGCTGGGCAACCGAGGGGTGAGGAGACACAACATTGCGAGAGACGCCCCGCGCGTTGGGAAGGCGCCGAGAGACTGTCAGAACAGCAAATCGTTTTTCTGCTGGTGAGCAAGATAATAGCTGCCGAAACATAAAGTTTTCTATCTAGAAGTAACTTCCTCTCCTGAAAAAAATAAAAGCCCGCAATATTTCAGCTACTTGCAGTCATCAGAGAGACCTCAGATGTTCATCAGCTCAAAGGGATGGAAAACATCATGATTGTTCGCCAACAAGGAGTGTCTCTGTGTAGGTCCGTAGTCGTTTAATCCTAAAATTAAAACTAGACGGGAGGCTTGGTTGGAAAAAAAACCCAAAACAATCGCCCTCTTCATTTCAGCAACTTAAAAAGATACAGGGGGTGACGGAGAAAAGTAAAGGCTTTTGCTATCTTCTATTAAAAATTAATCTGAAATATTCTAGCCCAGAAGAGTACAGTATTTTGAGGTGTTCAAGCCTCTGAAATAATGCAATGTGGTTAAAAAAAAAAAAAAAAAAAAAAAAAAAAGGTAAAATTATACTGAATCCTGTTTACATCTGTTTGTTCTCTTTACACATATTCTGCAGTTTTCTAGCAAAATCACAACCACGCCGCCTCACATTTTGGAAAATAAATAGCTATGTCACAGTACGGGGCTTCCATCTCATAAATATATGCACATATACAAATACATATAAGAATTCACATATTATTTAAATTATTTAGCTAGCTATTGAAGCACTTCATTCTATTGCAATCTTACGGAGACATATTTAGTTAGGGGGGGAAAAAAGTATACGTATAGCTTCTTTCCATAACAGACAGAACCGCAAAGAGAAAATAAATGCCTTTTAAGAACTTCTAAGCCCGAGATATTTAAAATACAAATAATCAGCAGGTTTTTCTGAAGCTGCATTCCTGGCAAATTTTGCGACGAATTATCGCCTTGTGCCCCTATTTGCATTGGTAAAGGTGGAAAGACAGTGAGCATTTTGGCAGCAACATTTCAAATTCCCTAATGCTATACTTTTCTAATAAGGCTTTGTAGACTGTAATCAACCCTCAGCTTTACAAAACACTGTCCTAACTCCTTAGATATTTTCTCCTGCTCGAGTCATAATACCCCTCACCCTCCCTGTGCGAGAGAACAGCAGAGATTGGAGCCAGCGATCCTGTAATATTTTAATTAGCTCCTCTTGGCGCAAATTCCTTCTAGCACACGTTCCTCCTGTTAATTAGAGGTACCCACCCTACTGGCAAGGTAAATGGTCGGCTTCAAATATTTTCCAAGCAAAGCCCGGTACAAAACGACAACAATTTAGATACAATAGAACTTGACCTTTTGGAGAAGCAGTAGTGAGTTAAACAGTTCCCTTTGCACACCATCTGTGTATGTAAAAGCTAGGCTATCGAGGCGTCCCAGTTCTGTTTATATTCCTCCAAAGAAGAGATGTAACTTTTTTCTCCTCCCTTTGTTTAGCTTAGCTATGGGTAACAGTCTCCCCACCTCTTGGCCACGCTTCTCCTTTGCAGAACCGTCCTGCAGCAGAGGTTCCAAATTCAGAGCGGTTTTACCCTCTCTAATCCGGTCGAAATACATGGGAAGGCGTAACGAATGCATTTTGCTTCTCCAAACGAAATGCCTGCCTTTGTTTATGTTGTTCTCAGTGAGGTTAGCGAGGGGAAGGCTCGGTTTTCCCCCTTCCTCAACGCGGAAGTCCCAATTACTGTATTAAAAGAGCAATTCAACATTAGACCAAATAATCAACATTGATAATTGTGCTGAACACAGCAACTTAACAGCAGGCTCCCTGCAATTACCCACACATTCCGGGACTTTAAGCGTACATTATCTCTTTTTTCACTTAACAGCAAATAAAGCAGAGAACAGCCTGTGCCTTGGGTGTCTACTCGCTCCCAGACGAGCTGTGCCCCCCTCGGTTTTCCCCGTCACCCTTCCCGCTTGTTGTGCAGGCGGCACCCGGAGGCATTTTTGGGGTCCCCCTGCGTTACAAACCCGCTTGAAGAGAAATGGGCTGCTTGGTTAGGAGAGGTGGGGGAGAGAGCTCGATTCAAAAGCAGGCATCGGGGCTGCACGTGTGCATGCTGTGCAAGCACATATATGCCCAGACACACGCACACCCACGCACACAGACTCCTATTTCCAGTTGCCTTCTCGCCCTTCTTGCCTTAATTTCCCTTTGTTTCCCAGAGGCAGCCCCGACCTCTGGCACTGCGAAGCCTCGCACGGCGCCGCAGCCCTCGCTGCAGAGAGGAGCGGCAAAAAGCCCCATACAAACCTGTGCCAGCTCTGCTCCCCATTTCTAGCCCCAAGGTTTGAAATTTATTGAAATGCAAGAGGGCAGCTGCAGTGAGTCCGAGGAGGTGGCGTCCCGCGATTAAGTGTTGGGCAGCTCTGTCATGTCTGCTCTGACACAAGCTGAAGTTGACTGCCAAAGTGCTATAAAACCGCAGGTCAGTCTAGAACTGTTTTCGGTTCCCCTAGACGCGCCGTGTTCAATTATAGCCTTAAAAGCCCTAATACAAGTGCAAGAATTTGTTTGCCATCACACAGAGGCGGGGCGAGGCTCGGCAATGGTGGCGCCTTTGTTATCTCAAAGTCACTGAAATCCTTATACATTCCTTTTTGTTCGAAGGGAGGAGTGTCTGCGTGTATGCAGGGTGTGGGGTGAGGTTTTCATCGACGGAATTGAACGGTGGGGTATACAGGGAAAATAACCAATGTTCGGACACCAAAAGAGGGCTTCCGACCCCCCGGTCCACTCCACCCACCACCCCATCACGACCACTCCCCGCAAAAAAAAAAAAAAAAAAAAAAAAAAAAAAAAAAAGCATAACCAAAAAAACCTAGGGGGAAAGCAAATGCAAGCAAAATTACAGCGTTAAGGAAAAAGCCAACCAGAGCTCTGGCACACCCCTCCCCACCTCAAGTTAAAAAAAAAAAATTAAGAGGGAGAGAGAGGGAAAGCCCCCAAACCTTTTTACAATCCCTAAACGACACTGCAGTCTTCTGCTAGCGGTTTTGACGACATGCAATCTCTTTCCATCCACTTTCTAGCAAATATGTCAAGCTGGAAGATTAATTCATTAATTTCAAGTTCAGCTCACAGACGTGCAGTAGGCATAAGAAGTTCTTGCAGCAAACCAAAATAAAGAGTTCATTACAGGGATACGTCCAGAGCATTTGATTTGTGAACGGTAACCCTTGTAAAATAAGAAAAAGGCATATAAACATTAATGCTAATAAATTAGTTTACTCCACTACGAAGTAATTACTTGATAATCTTGAATTTACAGCTTGAATTCAAACGCAATAGTTAACTATAATGTAGGGGAAATACATAATGAGAATATTTTCTCTCTGCATAACATGATTAGATTTGTTATTGAGTCGGTTACGATAAGCTAAGCAATAAATAAACAAATCGATGTTGACATTTAAATACCGAGGATCTCCAGAATTTACTAGAGAACTTTCTCCGGATATATAAATACTTCCACAGCACTGCAGAGGAAGAGGGGGGGAAAATCCAAATATTATTTCCCTAACATTTTCGTTTCCCTTCCACTAGCCTCCCAGGTCCACGGGAGCATGGATCTTGAACTATGTCTGATTTCCTATGAGTACCGACTTCACAACAGCCTTCTGCCACCCTGTTTTTCTATTTTGATAAAATCCAGCCGGAACTCAAATATTTCTTTTCTGAAATCGAGCATCAAAAGAGAAAAAAATACTTTTTCCGAGAGCTTAGGGATGTCCGTGCCTCAAAAGGTGCTGTATTCTTTGGCGTATTTCTGTGTTTTCTTTGGCTCTGCTCATTCGGAGGGGTGTGCATTTTTATTGGCAGAAAAGTACTTTTTAGTCTCTGCCCTGTACAATCCGCTTTCTATATCATCCCTTTCATGCAACAATAGTAAAAAGTTTAATCAGGTTTTTAAAATAGGTCTCCCTGAGTGTCAGCCTTCAGCGACGACACAAAGCTAAAAGGAAAGTACCTCGGCATGGCGAGTTTGTTCCTACGGGTTAACAGTATGTCAAATAATTTTAACTAGGCTTCTGGCAATTAAACTCGGAGTATTTGTCAAGCTGGGGTAGCCCTATATCCGCTGGTTTTCCAAGCATTTAGCTGCAGAGTTGAGGCAGAGAGATCAGCAAGCAGTCTTTAGCTCCGTGGTCTGCACTTTCGAGGGCTTGCTGGCTTGCTGGAGTTGCGACTGAGGCAAGGGATGATTTGGAGGGGGTGAGGAGGGGAAACCTGCGTCCTGGGGACCCGACGTTGTTAATTGCCTCCAGTAAAGCTTGGCTGAAGCCTCGCGGGGTATTTGAGGTTAATATGTAAGTAAGGGAAGGAAGACACTAAGCGCTTCGGAAGTGAACATGAATGCAAGCATGTAATCTATTCACCATGAAAATCAGTAAAGACTTGACCCTGGCACATTCTTCCTAGTAAGGTTTCCAGAAAAACCCTGAAGAGTGAGGGCTTTTTTTTTTCTTTCTTTTTCTAGGGGGGAGGAGAGAAAGCTCAAACCGATCGCCCCCACCAAAAAAAAAAAAAAAAAAAAAAAAATTAAAGGAAAAAAAAAATGTTTTCTTCAGGAGCGTTTTCCTCCTCGGAAGCAGCTTTCCACAAGAAAGCGTGCGTGCATCTCTACGGTGCCCTCCTTCTCGGAGCCGAACGCCCCAGCAAGCCCACAAACAAACAGAAAGGTCTCACCTAACCCTGGGGGGAATTGATAAGCCTCTCTGCTCCAGAGCCAGAGGGTGCCAGGGACCGGGCGGCTAAGTCTGGGGCAGTGGCAGGGCGGCTGTGTGTCCCCCCGGGCTCCCCCCGGGCCAACCTGCGCGGGGCTCGCCCCCGGGCGCTGGCGACGGAGCTGTTGCTTTCCCCCGCGACGGCCACAAAGGGAGCGGGGCCCGGGCCCGCCGCTCGTCAATGTCAACGTCGGGCCACGTGACCGCACCTCCCTGCGCCGCCGGGAGAGCTCTCCACGTCAGCCTACGTCTCCCCATCCCTTACTTCGCGGATCCGCTTCAAAGGGGCAGCTGCGTTAGAGAATCATGTTAAGCTCAGCTAATGCGGAGAAGCCGAGGTAGCCCTAATGATGGATTTTGATGAGCGTGTTCCTTGTTCCTCTAACATGTATTTGCCAAGTTGTACTTACTACGTCTCGGGTCCTGATTTTTCCAGCCTCCCTTCTTTTTTGCCCCAAACCCCTTCTTCTCGCCCTATGACATACTCGTACTCCTCCAACCTACCCCAGGTCCAACCTGTGAGAGAAGTTACCTTCAGGGAATATGCCATTGATCCCTCCAGTAAATGGCACCCCAGGAACAATCTGCCCCACTGCTACTCCGCAGAGGAGATTATGCACAGAGACTGCCTGCCTGCCACCAACACTGCTAGCATGGGCGAGATGTTCGGCAAAAACACAGCTAACGTCTACCACCCCAGCACCAACGTCTCCTCCAATTTCTATAGCACGGTGGGCAGAAACGGGGTCCTGCCCCAGGCTTTCGACCAATTTTTCGAGACGGCTTATGGCACGGCGGAAAACCTGGCCTCGGCGGACTACCCGGTAGACAAGAGTGGCGAGAAGGCGCCAGCGGCCGCCGGGGCGGCGGCGGCGGCAACTTCAAGTTCGGAGGGCGGCTGCGGCAGGGCGGCGGCGGCGGCGGCGGAGAAGGAGAGGAGGAGGCGGCCGGAGAGCAGCAGCAGCCCCGAGTCATCTTCCGGCAACAATGAGGAGAAATCCGGCAGTTCCAGTACGTATAAAGGCAGCGCCGGAGCGCTTTTAGGAAAGGCAGCTTGAAATCTAGCGCACCGCCGCTGTTAAATTTTTATATGCTGTTTTATAAGCATATAAGGTTTATGAAGGGCCTTTAGATTTCCCCCAACAAAACTTTGTTATAAAAGGCGAGATCACGTGTTTAGTGCTGAAATTGGCCGTGAAATACCCACCGGGCAATGGATGCCTAATTTTTTTTTTTTTTCCCCTTTTTCTTCTCCTTTTAAAAAAATTTTTCAGCTTTTTTTTTTTTTTTTTTTTTTTAAAGATAATAAAAAAATCAGTTCCGTGGTCAGCTCTTGAAAATATAATAATGTTAGTTCTGTGCCTGTATATTCGGCAAAAGAGGAGATCCTGACTCCTTTGATATCAATGTAATCCAGTGATTTTATAAAAGCCATGTGTTGCACCAGAAGTCTAGTTAGGAGCTGAATTCAAAGCCTTCGCCGTTTTAACGATTGCGCTAGAATAGCGTTTAACAGATAAAGTAGCCGCCTGAACTGTAGCAATATATTAAAAGAAGCAAATTAACCTAAAGCTGGCCTTTTTGTCTAAAGGAAGCCATTTTACTAAGGCACTGTGGCAATTACGTGTTGCCTTCTGTCCAACAGTTTGTTACTTACAATTGTTATTCAATCTGTCAAAGTCTGATTTTTTTATGTGGGCTTTTTAAAAGGCAAAGCTAGTATACGGCCGGGGGAAAAAATACCTCGACAATGAACTGTACCAGAAAAGGAAGTTTTTAAAGGGATAGCAGCTACGTTTAATGTAAAGAGCTCCTGAACCTTGAAACCTTTTATATTCTGCTTAATGAACTTTAAAACCGTAATGGCTAATCGAGAGGAGAATACCTCGATGCGGTGGAGAACGTGCTTGAAAATAGCCGGCTAGGGGGAGAAGGAGACGCCTCAGCCTTGGGCTCAGGGGTTTTTCCTCTGCTCGGAGCGTAGAGACGGGATGAGGCCAGGGAACGAGGGCGCGATCCACGCGGGTTGGGGCTCGGGGAGGGTTGGGCGCGGGCCCCCCCGCCGCCGCAGCGCTGCCCGCTGCAGGCAGCCAGGTGATGGCTGCTCCCTGGGCAGCTCCGCGTGCCTGGGGGCGCCCGCCAGAGCAGCCTACAAAGGCTTTCCTCCGCCTCGTGAAATCCGCGAGAACCCCCCGCCACCACTCTTTCCTCCAGCTGCCCTCCCCGCGGAGGAAACGAGGCCGGATCCCCGCGTCTCGGCGGGGGTTTCGCCCTGCACGCTGCCCGGGGCCGCGGCGCTGCGGGAGCCGGGGTGTGCCGGCGGGTCCCGGGCCCGCCTGAGCTCACCCGCCAAGGCGGAGGGCTGGCGCCAAGCCCCGGACCCACCAACTTCCACCCCGGAGCGGGCAGAACGCGTCTTTTCCACGTTAACGTGCTTTCCCTGAGAGTACCCCCCGTCCCTTCTCAGCCCCCGCCGCCGGCGACAGCCGGGTCTCAAATATTTCTGCCTTTTTTCGCTCCACAGGTGGACAACGTACGCGTAAAAAGAGATGCCCATACACCAAATACCAGATTAGAGAGTTAGAAAGGGAATTCTTCTTCAGTGTCTACATAAACAAAGAGAAACGCCTCCAGCTCTCCCGAATGCTCAATCTGACCGACCGTCAAGTCAAAATATGGTTTCAGAACAGAAGAATGAAAGAAAAAAAAATTAACAGGGACCGATTACAATATTACTCAGCTAATCCACTACTTTAAAACTCATAGCGTTTTTCAAGACGAGATTAAATTCAGATTTCGCCCTTGACAAGGTCAAGCCACGGGGTTATGTGGAGGAAGGAGGTGTGTATCTGACGGGACTAGAAGAATCTAAGGTTTTACACACATGTAAACCCACTCTGGAACTGCGATGATGATTTTATATATATATATTTACATATCAACTGGAATCAATTTGATTTTGACACACATGGGATCCATTTCCAAACGTGCACGTCACCTCTGAGTGCAAAATCCATACCTCTTACCTTTCCAGGCACTGCGGCTCACCCTGCCACCGCTTTCGGCAGGCACGGGTGGGGACGGTCCTTCTCCATCCCCGGACTCGCCCATCCTCGGCCCTTTCTTGCCCCTGTGCTGCTGTGGAACAGCTGTCGGGAGATTGTTAGGTCGGGCTCACCCAAGCAGGACCACTGCAGAATATAAACTCTGAGAAATAATCTTTTGTTCTTCCTTAGGAAAATAATCTGGGTTAGAGGCAGTGTTCCATTGCTCATGGGTTTGAAATAAGAATTGAAGGACGGACACACACACACACACACACACACACACACACACACACACACACACACAGACATACACACACACACAGAAGTAAAGAAAGGGGAGGGGGGGAATGTCATGTCCACACCTTCCTGGGGCCAACCACCAGTAGTTGTAATATGGATGTAGTGATGGTTATAGTAGTGTTTCCTTTGGGGGTGTGGGGAGGGATGGGGGCGAGGGAAAAAAAGACCGAAATTAAAAAATTAATTATTTACTTTTAAAAATCAGGTATAAATTCGCCATATGTCGTAAAGAAACAATCACTAAAAATAAAATTAGAAAAATTTAATTAGCTCTTGTTTTATTTATGACAACAGACTATGCGTTGCCATTTTTTTGGAGACAAATCATTTACAAATACTAAATATAAATCGGCAAAAAGTGTGAATTTCAGCATTTTAAAAGAAAGAACTCCTTAAAGGAAACTAACCTTCTGGGGCTTCTGGCTCACAAACTTTCTTCAGGAAATACCTGTGGAGAACGACAGTTTAGCAAATACCACACAACACTTAATTGAAACTTGGAGTTGTGCAATGCACTAACATTGGATGATTAAAATAACTCTATTGCATGTTCGTTTAAAGGTGACTAGTGAGGAGTTTAAACAGAAGCCAAACAATGTAAATATGGTAATTTTGTTGTTGTCTACTTTAAATGTCACGAACTCTACTTTGTCGCCCAGTCGACGTATGCAAAGAATGGAGAGTTGTTTGAACTTATTTTAAATATCTATAAATATATATATTTCCCTGCAGGAACCAAAGTGTGAAAAAAATACAATTTAAAAAACAAAAAAAAAAAAAAAAAAAAGAGAAAAACAAAGGAAAATATTTAAAATTCTATATCAGTTTACAAAGGATACCATGTTCTATCGTTGAAGTAATTTGCTGTCGAGAATATCTGAATGTATATTTCATACAGGAACGGTGTTTTACAAGACTTGTAAATAATAAAAAAAAAGAACCCATAACCTATTTTGTTCTAATGCCCTTTTTTTCCCCCTGGTTGGTTTTTTTTTTCTGGTTGATGGGGTTTTTTTGGGGGTTTTTTTATTGTTCCTTTGGGGCTAAAGGGTGTGGGATTTCTTTACATGTGCAACAAAGTGGTGATAAGAATGTTTTTGATTAATAAATTTTACCAAATGGATGTAATTTCTTTGTCACAATTCACAACATGCAATATCTTTATATGACGTCACTGTTTTCAATATGTATCATCTATGTGTATATACAGTTTTCTTTTAATATGCGCAAGTATTTGGTTGCATGTATACAGTGGAACAGCGCACAAGGAAAAATAAAAAAATGGAAACTTTATATTTTTACTCTGGTATTACGTTACTGCATGTTCTTTTATCCAATGTAACTCTGGCACCCGAAATTCCTCATGACCTTCTTCGGTCATTTGGGGCGAATTACTCTTCTTTTGTGAACTTCATCGTTAAATCTTCTGCTCTGGAGTTAACAAGTGAACCTAGGCTTGTTTGAGCATACTTTCAGCAGGTCACAGGAAAAGGAAAATTAAGCGTGTTCATAGCTCGATACATGTTAGGCCTTCTCCTTCTCCTGCCAGCACCGGTGGGGCAAGGTCCTATGCTCGAGGGTTGGATGTGCCATTGCTGTTTGCTCGCCGCCACACGTGTCCAGGAGAAATGTTTCTCAGTAGCATTTGGGACACATTTTATAAGCTGGCACCAAAGGGAAGTTTCAAGCCAGCTGATGGATGTGGTCAGAATTTGAGAGCCCTAAGAAAATTGTTGTCTTTGGGGAAAAGAATCCACATGGCAATGTGGTGGAAATGGACTGTTTGAAATTGTCCTTGATCTCCAAGGCGGGGGGTGGACTGAGGCGGGTAGTGGGGGTGGGGGGGGGGGGGGGAAGGAGGGCTGGAGAGAGAAAGTTGGAGAGGGCAGGGGGGAGAAAACACCAAACACCAAACAATAGCTGAGATAGGGAAGTGTTTTGAGGAGAGTATTTGAATCTTTAATGCTGACCCTAATCCTAATCAGGAGAAGAAAGTGGATTCTGGTTTTGCATTGTTTACTGGCTTTGAACTTCTGTATTGCTTGGACATCACCCATAACCTTGAGGTGAAGGACTTACCGACTTCGGGCCTTTGTTGACCACTGCCACCCAGCCAGACAACGTTTACCTAAAGGGAATGTTGAAAAGTGAGGGGGAAAAGAGGAGACTTTGTTTGTTTGTTTGTCTAGTATGCAAGGGGAAATGCCAGTTAAAAGGAGACAGACAGATGGATGGACGGATGGTGAGAGAGGAATAGGGGGATGGATGGAGAGCTGAATGACAATGAAAGTTAAGCCTGCAAGCTTCCTTTCCTGGTTAAAAATTAACTGGTATTCAGAGCCAATCCCAAAGACAGTAAAAACATGGAGTTTCTGTGGTCGAGGTTTGGATTTCCTAGCCCAATAAAATCGCATCCTCTCTGTTGCTGTGACATTGCAGCCATAAAAACTGTCCGTGACTTGTCTGCTCGCCTGTACCAAATGCATCACTATAAAGGCAGCGGAGGTTCGCCCAAAGGTTTTTACACCGGGAGGTGAGCGACCATTGCTCTCCGCCGCCGTCTGTCCGTCCCCCCGCCCGCCCGCCGTCCTGCCGCGGGGCCCCGGCGGGCGGGCGGACGGACGGACGGACGGACGGCGGCCGCGGTTTAGGGGCTGCTTTGCCACAAGATGGCGATCTTCAGATCAATGTCAAAGCCGCCCGGGGCAAGGGGAACAGCCCTGCAAAGGGAAGAAAAAAAAAAAAAAAAAAAAAAAAAAAAAAAAGGAAAATCTTGGCCTTTGTTCACTTTGCATCCCTGGAGCCACACGGGTAATTATTGCACTTACCGGGCTCCGCTGTACAAAAAGCCGCTCGGGATGCCGGGGGAGGGGGGAGACGCTGGGGCTTCTCGGTGGAGTTAAAGCCTCTGGGCTTTGGGTTAGGAAATGCGCGAAGGTAAGTGTTTTATACATCTATCCGGCATGGAGAACGGCGAGGAGTGTGCGGTGACCGGAATGGTACCCTGCGATGTGGGGTGGCCCTTGCCCTGACCGCTGAACACCGCGGAAAATAACTGTAGGGAGGGGAAGGGATCAAAAAAAGTTGGTGATTAGGATGTGAAATAATATAGCAGCGACTTTCTAAGTTGCAGCTAACCTTTTTTTTTTTCTTCGTTTTGGCCAGCCGGGTGGAAAATGCACGTTATCTGGAAATATTTCTTCAGGGTAACTTGTAGCTTTCTTCCACTTATTAAAAAAAAATGAAAAAAAAAAAAGAAAAAAAAAAGTGTAGCATTGGAAATATTATGAAACTTGACATTTATGTGTGGAACAGTAGGTGTCTTCAATCAAATAGATCTATGGCAACACAGTCTGCAAATGACAGACAATTCTGACGATCTTATTAGTCTTGAACTATAGTTTAGTTAGGGTCGTTTGGTAACTTTAAAGGGTAGTCTGCTTCCTTGCAGCTGGACACAGATTGTGGTAAACAACTTTTGACATGCTTATACTAAAAACTGTTCATGTGATTGCATATTAAGTCAATGTTCGTGCAAGACCAGATTTAGATTTTCTTTCCTTCTTTCTTTCTTTCTTTCTTTCTTTCTTTCTTTCTTTCTTTCTTTCTTTCTTTCTTTCTTAATCAGCACATGTGCTGTAAACAAACAATAGTCACTCATTCTCATGTGCTCAGGGCTGCTCTGGATTGTAGCTTTGAAACTCTATCCTCTCTACCAGTACCCCTAACTCCAGGTTACTTTTCATGCCCATAAAATTTTCACATGTTTTTCTTATGTCTCCATTTGAGAAGGGTGGGCGGGAAGGTGGTATTGAATGGAGAAGATACTGGTTTGGCTACATATTTTAATACGTGTTTCTTAGGACAGAGTTTAAAGTATCTGTCTGAAAAAATGAAAAATATTATTTTATCCTTTCTCTACTATGCATATAATGCCTGTTGCCTGCAGTATTTTTTAAATCGTGCTTCCAGGGAACTGTTGCAAGTGTAGTTAAAAGCACATGCTCAGTCGACAGAGAGCAGTTTCAGATGATTATTGGAACGTATCGATTTCATCAAAGATGCTCCATTAAAAGCTCGGGGCTGCTGATCCCTTTTGACTTCCCCTCAGCAATGCCAGGATGCAAGAAGCCACGTGAGAAGTAGGGAGATTTGAGGGTCCCTTTGCAACATTTCATTTTACACCAGTCAAGTTAAACTCCGCATATTTGATCAAATATTTATTTTTCCCCTTGTTGTTTCCCTGTCCCATTCAATACTTGGCTGAATAAATCAAAGGGACCCCAGCAGCAGTTAAAGCGCCCTCTGGTTACGGATTGTTTACTGACGGCCGCGGTCATAGGATAATATTTAAAAAAAACAAGCTTGTTTCTTACAATAACTGTTTATTATTTCGCATTATTTGGGTTTGCATGTTTTGGAGGAAAGAGGGGAAGCCAGCTCAGTGTCTACACTGTGTTTAATTAATCGTGTACTCAGCTTCAGCTCACATACCACATCCAAATCCCTGGGAGGCTTTTTCATAAGCTCATTGGGTTTGTGTTTTGTTGTCTATTTTTTTTTTTTTTTTGGGTCACAATCTTTTCATTAAATGCTCTGAAATCGAAACTTCTGGCCAACGTGTGTGTCTGACAGCCAAGCTATACCACAACCAAAAAAAAAAAAAAAAATTTGTATATGCATTCAGACCCTCTTTAAAGGCAAGACAGCTACAAAAAGGGAGAAAGGCTACAGTTTCAAATGCTTAATAGAGCCGTGCGGCGCATCTCTCGCAATAGAAGGGGTACACTTAAAAGACAGACTTGGGCATGCAGTATTTTCCCCACACATATATAACCCGATACCGTTGTTGCTTCTGCATGGTGTTTGGGGCTCTCTGGACAATAGAAAGCCCCGTTGTTGTCGTCAGTGCCGGAAAATGGCGAGGAAATAAAGCCCTAATGAATTGGTTTGGGTGTATTTTGTCCTGCCGCACACTAGCATTTGAAACTCGTCAGAATTACTTGCAAAATATGTTCCTAATCCAAATAAGTAAAACGATACATGTATAATATAAAACATAGTTAGGCGAGCAAGCCTCCGGATGGCTGGAATAAAATTAAATCGCCGCCTAATTTTTAACAAGATAATCCGCCAAAACAAGCCAACCTCCCCAGCACCACCACCAGCGTGAAAGAATTTCTAGTAAAGATAAAATTAGTGGGGCCGTCATTTGTCACCTAACTTGGCACAGACGCTGTTCCTAAACCTCCTGTCTGAAATCCGCCTTCTTTGGAGCAAATCCGAGGGTGGGGGAGGGAATGAAAAAAATAAAAAGAAGAAAAAAGAGGAATCTGGCACACACACACGTTTCAGGGAGCTGACAGTTCCAATATTAAATAACTATAGTCTGATCGCATTAATTTTTGGAGCTGTATAAAATGTAGTCCACGGCTGTATTCTCAGATAGGCGGCGCATGCACTCCTGCACAGACTGCAAGGCCGTTTACGTTTTCACAAATTGCAGCTTGCCCGTGTCTACAAATAAAAGCATATTTTAATTAGCTCGCAAAATGCGTCTCTGGATTAACAGTGCTGATCTTTTGGGTTATACGGGCCAATAATAAAAAGATAAATCACGGTTTAACACGATACGTTTTGAGATTTCCAGTCAGAGTTTGCTTAGGCTGAGCTGTCGTTTTTTATTTATTCCCTTTTTGTTTTTAATTTTAGTTCAACCAATAAAACGACTTAACGACGCTATTAATGCATCTATTATATTTTTCTTAGATCAATAAAATTTTATTTTGATTGTATTGTCTATGTACGCCATGAATTTAGATTCTTCACGAAAACACCTTCTCGCTGGCTTTGATATTTATCAGAATTTTATTTGCTCAGTTTTATAGACCCTCGGATAGCTTTACTTACAGAAGTAGAATTAAAAAGAAAGTAATTCTCGTCCCCTGGCGTCCACAATATTCTTTAAAATTTCTTTTAAATAGGGGTTAAGTTCCAAGGGACACATTGTTAAGAGCTGGTAATGCAGTAGCTGCACTCAGCGCATGCCAAATTAGCTCAGTTTAGTCAGAATTGACCATTATCTTTTATAGTTACGAATCAAGTGAACATTATTAGTTTTACTTCACTGGGTTTGATGACGCTGGTTACTATTTGCCTTGGCCTTGTTAGCGATTAAAGAAAGCGGAGATAATGCAACGCCGAGCTGAGTTCATGATCTAGACGGAGTCGGTGCCTTGACCATCAAACAGGCATCGTTTACTGCGGTCAGCACAACAGCCCACGGCAGCTCC